TCCCTGCTTCCTCCTCCTTCTCTTCCACCTCCCTGCTTCCTCCTCCTTCTCTTCCACCTCCCTGCTTCCTCCTCCTTCTCTTCCACCTCCCTGCTTCCTCCTCCTTCTCTTCCACCTCCTGCTTCCTCCTCCTTCTCTTCCACCTCCTGCTTCCTCCTCCTTCTCTTCCACCTCCTGCTTCCTCCTCCTTCTCTTCCACCTCCTGCTTCCTCCTCCTTCTCTTCCACCTCCTGCTTCCTCCTCCTTCTCTTCCACCTCCTGCTTCCTCTTCTTCTGTCATGCGTTTTCTTTTGCTCCTGCTCCCAGTAATTCATGGTGAAGGATCAGAGTAATACTAATAATAATAATGATGATTATATTAATATAAAACAATAATAATAATGATGATTATATTAATATAAAACAATAATAATAATAATGATGATTATATTAATATAAAACAATAATAATAATAATGATGATTATATTAATATAAAACAATAATGATGATTATAATAATGAACAAGTTGTGGTAACCGTGCGTGCGTGCGTGTGTGTGTGCAGGACTCGGTGTGCGTGTGTGGCGAACAGACAGACAACTGTTCGTGGGGAGACGCTGTCAACGTTAGAGACACCCTCATCTACGCGTCGCAGCCCGATCTCAACAGAGTTCTTGTCATCGGTCTACACGACAGAGACGTCATGGAGGTAAGAGCACATGTGAGGGGGAGGGGAGAGGGAGCGGGAGGGCGGGGGAGGTTCACTCAGAGTGGAGGGGACGGAGACAGATCATGATATCGTCTATGGACATTATTGAATAATCGATTGGTTACAGATAATGAGGATGAATTGATTACCGATATTGATGACACATAAATTAGTTATATAGAGATGCTAAATCAGTTGATTACAGATATTAATGATAGATTAATTACATATATTGACGATCAATCAATTGATTACAGATATCTACGATCAATCAATTGATTACGTACATCGATGATCGATCTATTGATTACAGATTGTGCTGACGGACGCTACACCTGTGAAGCTTCGTTATGTGGAGCACCTGGACCAGGTGTGGGTTCTGTGTTGGCGCGGCCGTGACGATGCTGGCTCCAAGACGCTTCAGGTGATCCGCAACGCGAGCGAGCAGCTGCTGCACCACACCGTGCACACGGAACCAGTCAGCGACCACTTCGACATGGTACGTACGCCTGCAGCATGATGTAGTATTATAGCATGATGTGTACACACACACACACACCGTGCACACGGAACCAGTCAGCGACCACTTCGACATCGGGACCGTACGCTGAGCATGATGTACACACACACACACACACCGTGCACACGGAACCAGTCAGCACCACTTCGATCATGTACGTACGTCCTGCCAGCATATGAGTACTTATCAGCATGATGTACACACACACACACTTACACCGTGCACACGGAACCAGTCAGCGACCACTTCGACATGGTACGTACGCCTGCAGCATGATGTACACACACACACACACCGTGCACACGGAACCAGTCAGCGACCACTTCGACATGGTACGTACGCCCTCAGCGAGTGATGTAGTATTATAGGCATGATGTTGTTACACCACACACCCGCTGACACGGAACAGTACAGCGGACCACCTTCGACATGGGTACACACATGTTTAATTGTTAATTAATTAGTTTGTTCTACATCATTATTCGTTTATATTATTATTATAAGTAAAATAACAAATCATAATATAAACACTCTGTAATTGTTGATTAATACACACATACATCTGCAGCATCAGCGTCAACAATAACGATTTCCCAGCATGTGTCCCCGCGGACCATTTTTCCAGATAAATAAATCAATTAATAATAGTATTAATCAAAATAATAGATTAATTACTTGTTAATTACCACGCACGCGTACGTCGTTTGCAGATACAGGACGTGTTTCTGCCGCCGGCGCAGGATCTGTCACACGAGTGGAGCCATGGTTACGTGACGCACCAGGCACAGAGAGGAATGTTCAAGCTGAACCTTGCCAAGCTGAAGTACGCATTCACACCGTCGACGCTGAACGCTTACAACTGTGAACCATCACAGGCCTGCGGCCATTCGCCATCCCTAAGGTACCCGCCACCTGCCGCCCGCGCCGGTCATCTGCTGTTGTGTCCTGTGTCGCTGTGGTCTGTGTTCTGCTGTTCACGGTGCGGTTATATTTTGTGTACGCCCGCGTCACCACCTGCCTGTGTGCCATCTGTGGCGCCTGGTGTGCGTGCCGTGGCGTACGTGCGTATGTTGCATCTTTGGTCGGCGTGCCCTGTGTGCATGCGACTGCCGTGCGGCTGCGGCCGTTGGTGTAGTGACGCGCGTCGGTTTGCGCTGCCGCGACACCCTTGCGTGCAGTGCGTCGCGTTATCTTCCGGTGGTCGCGCGCGCGTCGTGTTGCATCTGTGTGGTGCGGCAGTGCGTGCGTGCTGCGCGGTGCATCTGTAGTGGCAGTGTGTGTCGCGTGCGTGCGTGCCACCCTCCATTGTGTCGCGAGTCGGCAGACCACGTCTTTTCAAACCACAAACACCACTACTCGTCTCTACTTGGCTCTGCCACCAGGGGCACGGTGTATCGTTGACTGTCAGGTCCCCGGCCAGCCTGGCACATCCAGTCAGATGGTCATGGACTACCTCACCGACTCCGTCATCTCCATGGAACGCCACCCATCCAGGGGGCCGCCGTTTGGTCGCGCCGGACAGAACACGCCATCCTTGTGACCGTCAACACGTGACGGGAGAGGTCAAAGTTCAGATGATCACCGAGAACGGTTAGTTTTGTCTCCGTGTCTTTGTGTCATAAAATAATAATATCAATAAAATAATAAAAATATATATATATATATATATATATAACCATGAATGGTGCAAGAGTTGTATGGGTTAAGAATTTAGCAAATAGAAATTTAAGATAGCATGCTTTTCAAGCAAAATACAAGATACGGTGTGTTTACGATGTGTTTACGATGTATTTTGTAATTCGTTGCAGGAATCCAATATCTGTTTGACATTCGTACAACCTTGTCCATCTCCGGGGTCGAATTCCACCCGTCGCAGGAGAGCGACAGCTACGACCTCTATTTGACCTCCGTCGAGAAGGGAGACGTGCTGTTCGTTTCCTTGACAACGGGCGAAGTGCAGGCGATTTCCGGTAAGCTGTTACGGAGGCGAAATTTAACCAGTTTTAAACAATTTTAATCGCGTGGATCTAGCAGTTTCGTCGTTAAAATTTTGCGATAAATTTAATCGAGGCATGTTTATGTTGTGTCTGGCGCGGCCCACAGGGGGTGAGATCGTTTTAGCAAATTGGCAAATATTGTAGATTTGTTGCACATGTTGCGTAGCTGCTCATGCCATGTGCATGAGTCATAGCATGATAACCACTCAAGTTCTCCCAGTTGCTCTTTCGATTTTACACTTTTTTTCTTCTCAATTTTTTTCACTGGTTATTGTCATGCAATACAACCGTATTAAAATGTAACCGAAATTTCTGTGTGAAACTATCGTCTCAAAATCGAAGACAAAAGAAAATTCAAGGCATCTGGTTATTAGCTTTAACATAAATTCACGCGTGAACCATCCGCTGACGTACAATCATCTGACCAGCAGTAGATAATACTTCGCTGCACGCCCCCGCCACGGCTCGCGCTCACGTGACGCGGTGTCTTCTCTCACGCAGGTGTCGGCTCCATCGACGACCCCCACGCCCCCTGGCAGCTGAACAGACGCGTTATCTCGTCGTCCGGTATCTTCGGTCGTTACCTCGTGCTGCCGACGCACGCGGGACTGTTCGAGATCGACACCGCAACGCAGAAGCTGAAGTGTGAGATCGGACTCGTGCAACACGGCAACACGATCGTCTGGGCGAACGAGGTGTAACCACGGCAACGCGATCGTCTGGGCGAACGAGGTGTAACCACGGCAACGCGATCGTCTGGGCGAACGAGGTGTAACCACGGCAACGCGATCGTCTGGGCGAACGAGGTGTAACCACGGCAACGCGATCGTCTGGGCGAACGAGGTGTAACCACGGCAACGCGATCGTCTGGGCGAACGA